CGTTGAAGGGTATCTTGTTTGGGTCCATGTTCATATTAAAACTGTACAGATTCCAGCTGTCTGTCCATAATGTTGAACTGGGAGTCGGAGATTACGAATACATGGCATTTCACGTCACCTGAGCCTTCGGCTTTACGCTCAATTTCCAGCTGGACCCCGTCTGTACTGTTCACAATGCGCTTTCCAGTTCCTTGCATTGACTGATCCGCCATGGTGCACATGTTGATCACAAGCCCGAACTTATCATCGGTGTAAAACTTTGTCGCATTCATGTGCTCGGTTTTATTTTGGTCTTTCACAAAGAATCGGTGGGCCTCTTCCCACATGTCCTTGCCTTCGATGCCGTTGTTGAAAAGCATGTTGGGCACGCCGTTGACCATGACGCTGACTTTCGTCAGATCCGGGAGGATGAATTTTTCTGAATCTCTGTTGCCCGCTGTGTGGCTCTACAAACAGGAGGAGGAGGGCTTTTAGTGACCTTCTTTGGGCGTTGACTTTGATGTTGATCCTCTTGTCAGTGCCTCTTTTGAAAGACACCTCTTTGTCATGCATCACGTGGTCGTAAGTGAACTCTTTGCCGCTGGAGTAAACGCTGTGTGCCTCATCTGCCAGAGTTTTGCTGTGGATGATTTCGTACTCGAGCTGGATGTTGGTCAGTTTGTATTTCAGCTGGGTTGTGTCGGAGCCTCTGACCACATGTATAGCTTCAGCAAGTTTTACATTGAACGTGAGGTCGTTGTAAAGGGCCTGGGGGTAGAAAACACTGTGGTTGGTTAAAATCTGATGGTCAAGCCTGATCCGGTACTTGCTTCCGTATACCTCGTTCAGCTTGTTTTCAGTGTCGACGCCCGAGGTTTTCTTGTCTCCTGTGCCTGAGCGGATCTTGCATAGATCCTTGCTCTGAATCCCCTCGCGGAGCATGCCATCTCGTTCTTCCTGCAAAAGGAAAAGGTCTTCGAAAGTTTTGTAGATGTCATAGCCAACCGTGTCTTGCAGGATAGTGCCTGCAAACTTCACGACCAGCCTGTCAACAAGCGCCCGCGTGATGTTCTGGACAAGGAAGTTGTTGGCGTGCCCTCCAGAAAGGTCGATGTCAAAGCGAAGAGCTAGCGAGCCCGGCACCAGAACCTCGTTCTTGTTCAGCTTGGGCACGGAAACATACAGCTTATCCCCGGGGTTGGCTTCAGAGCGGATAAAGGTGATTCGCTTGGCCGCGTGCTCAGCCTGCATGGCGTGTAATGTCTTTTCGTTGTACGTTGGGCGAAGGTTCTCTGGCACTGACATTGTGTATTAATACACCGGCGATTTTTTTCTAATTTAAAAAATAACAGGCTTGCAATATATTGCTATGGCGGAAGGCGGCGGCGAATTTGGTTACGAAGACCCGGACCTTGACAATCGAGTTGACCACGATGATGACGATTATGAGGAACAAGAGGTTGAGAGAACCCAACCTTTTGAGCCAGGCGTGGCATCCACTCCCTACCAACCTGGCGCCCCCTACCACGTGGGTGAACAAATGGAAATGCATACTATGCAGCACGAGCAGTCAGGCCTGCCCGACACTTCTTATCAGCGTAGCTTGAAAGAACACCTTCAATCAGTGATCTTCAAAAAGAAAGCTATTTGCAGCAAAAACTCAAAAAAGCTGTAGATACAATAAAAAGCAAATTCCCTAAAGCAAACTTTGAAAAAATCACAATTAGAAGAGGCACTGGAAAAAATGAGGGAAAAATTGTTGCTGTGGGGGCAAAAAAGGGTGAGTACAAGATTCTAAAAGATGATGAGTCGGGCTTAATGAAAAGTTTTTTAGACAGCTTCAAAGATAAACTTGGGCCGAGGGCTGAAGAAATTGTAGCCAAAGACCGTGACACCATCAGAGAACAATGCCAAAGACTGAGTGAGACAGAGATCCAACTACAACAGGCGGAAACACTCTCTTCGTAAAGAGAAGAAGAAAAGAAAGAAGTGGAAGCTCTGAGATGTAAAATCGAGAAAACTGATGCTCAGATTGATGCCATTCAGGATAAACAAGGTTCGAATCTTGAAAGTGAAGCAGAGCTGTGCAGGCTGAAAGAACTGAAAAAGAACTATCAAACCGATCTTGAAAACAAGAAAAAAGAATTGGACTCGCTTACAAAAAAAGCAAGAAACAGAGAAAAAGAACAAGCCAAGGTTGACAGACTCAGGGCCAGCCTTGCAGCAAAAGAAAGTGAAACAAACGCCATGGAAGAAAGGCTAAACCAAACAAAACCGCTGGACGACCTGAAAGAGCAGGAAAGCGAGCTGCAGCGCCAAAACGAGGAAGACCAGGCAATCATCCAAGATGAGAATGCCTTGCCCTCCGACAAAGAAGCCACAGCAGGCAGAGTGGCAGAAAGAAACGAGGAGATCGCGTGTTTGCAAACTCAGATTGCGGAAAGGGAAAGGGGGCGGCCTCTCTTGGAAAGGGTCAAAGAGATNTACAAAAAAAGCAAGAAACAGAGAAAGAGAACAAGCCAAGGTTGACAGACTCAGGGCCAGCCTCGCAGCAAAAGAAAGTGAAACAAACACCATGGAAGAAAGGCTAAACCAAACAAAACCATTGGACGACCTGAAAGAGCAGGAAAGCGAGCTGCAGCGCCAAAACGAGGAAGACAGGCAATCATCCAAGCTGAGAATGCCTCGCCCTCCGAAAAAGAAGCCGCAGAAGGCAGAGTGGCAGAAAGAAATGAGGAGATTGCGCATTTGCAAACTCAGATTGCGGAAAGGGAAAGGGGGCGGCCTCTCTTGGAAAGGGTCAAAGAGATCTTCAAAAAAAATGGTGTGACATTGACCGCTGTTCTTCTTGCTGCCGGGGTCACAATCGGAGCTGTCATCGGTGCCCTCACAAACACTTTGAAAGCCACTGGTAAGGCTTTGGGAAATAAGGCAAAAGATATTGGTGCGAAACTTGGTTCTCTGCTGCCCGGGCTAATTGGCTCGATTGTGAGCTTTCTATTCAAAGCTGCAGGCCAAGCCATCGGGTTTCTGGCCGAGCACACCTGGCTGCTTATTCTTGCCACGGTGGCCTTTTTGTTTGAACAATATCTTAATAAGTGGCGTTAACTTTACCGCCAAGCCATGAGCAAAGCCGATAATCCTAATACATCGACAATTACCGCTGTTTGTTTATTTCGTGTTGCGGTGTTTTATCTGGAGCCTTGGGTTCTATTTTTTGTGCCGTTGGTTTTGCTTGTTGAGTTTCACTCGAAGCTGATTTCCTTGATTCAGCTGTTGCAACTTTGTGTATCGGGTTGGATGGATGGCTGTTGGGAGGGTTAATCTTTGACTGGCCGCCTGCCATTAGTTCAAGCACACCTTTTTTTGTCTCCGGGTTTACCTCGTTGTTTACCCCAAGTTTCATCCCGAAGACCGCCTGTTTCAGCTTGCTGTTTTAACCGATCGTGGTTTCGGTATTGATTATCATTTGTGCGGGCATTAGCCAGGCCATGGGGGCTACAGCAAGATTGAACCTAACCTTCGCTTGATCCACCGCGAGCTGGTACCTTTGCACACTCTCGGCCAGGTTGGGCTGTCTGATCGTGTCTGCCATCAGAACAAGAAACTCGCTTTGGGCTTCTCTCACTCGACCGCCAGAGCCGAGAATACTGCTGCATACATTGACCTGCACGCCCAGGATGCAATAAACGAGAGCCTCAATTGACTGGTTGATTTGCGCCAAGCCCGCCTGCGTAAAACCTGATGCTGTGTTTGGCGTGAACCAGTCTGTTTGGGTATCAGAAGCGGCACCCGGCTCGATGTAATAAATCAAGTCCCCTTTTATAGCTTTCCCGCCTTCATCACTGAATTTGTTCCATCCCGGGTATTTATAGTCAGTTTTAGTCGTGCCNTTGACCGCTGTTCTTCTTGCTGCCGGGGTCACAATCGGAGCTGTCATCGGAGCCCTCACCAGACGTTTGAAAGCCACCGGCAAGGCTTTGGGAAATGGCCTAAAAGATATTGGCGCAAAACTCGCTTCCCTGCTGCCCGGGCTTATAGGAGCGGTAGTGAGCTTTCTATTCAAAGCCACCGGCCAAGTCGTCGGGTTTCTGGCCGAGCACACCTGGCTGCTCATTCTTGCCGCGGTGGCCTTTTTGTTCGAAAAATATTTTAAGAAGCAGCGGTAGCTTACCGCCAAGCCATGAACAGCAAAGCCGATAATCCTACTACACCGACAATTACCGCCGTTTTGTTTATTTCGTGTTGCGGTGTTTTATCTGGAGCCTTGGGCTCTACTTTTTGCGCTGTTGACTGTGCTTGCTGAGTTTTGGTCGAAGCTGCTTTCCTTGATTCGGATGTTGCGGCTTTGTGTATCGGGTTGGACTGATGGCTGTTGGGAGGGTTAATTTTTGACGGGCCGCCTGCCATGAGTTTGAGCGCAGCTTTTTTTTTCTCCGGGTTTACCGCGTTGTTCACCCCAAGTTTCATCCCGGAGACCGCCTGTTTTAGCTTGTTGTTGTAACCTACCGTGCTTGCGGTGTTGATCATCATTTGCGCGGGCATAAGCCAGGCCATGGGGGCTACAGCAAGATTGAGCCTGACCTTCGCTTGATCCACCGCGAGCTGGTACCTTTGAACGCTCTTGGCCAGGTCGGGCTGCCTGATCGCGTCTGCCATCAGCACCAGGAACTCGCTCTGGGCTTCTTTCGCCCGGCCGCCAGAACCGAGAATGCTGCTGCGGACGTTGACTTGCGCGCC